GTGTGTGTGTGTGTGTGTGTGTGTGTGTGAGAGAGAGAGAGAGAGAGAGAGAGAGAGATCAGTATGTACCTTACACTAAGTGGAAGTAGGAAATGAGTACAAGAAAAAAATGAATAGTGTGGACTTGTTAGGCTAAGAAAATATAGGATAAATTAAAAACAAAACTTTATTATTTCACCATGTTTGCTGAAGAGATTTTAAAATCTAAATTAGTTCTGATATCTGACAACCAAGGCAGTTTTTCATTATAATCAGTTACTGAAATATCTAAAAGAGAGTGATCTTTTTTGTCAGCCATAAAAATTCTGATTTTGTTGATGTATTACATGTGGATAGTCAGTTTTCCCAGCATCATTTGTTAAAAAGGCTGTCTTGGGCTGGGGATTTAGCTCAGTGGTTCTGCTGCCTGCCTCGCAAGCACAAGGCTCTAAATTCAATCCCCAGCACCACCCCGCAAAAGGCTATCTTTCCTGCAGGGAAAGTATTTGGCCCCTTTGCTAAACATGTTAGCTCAGTGTGCCTGGACTTGTTTCTGTATCCTATATTCTGTCCCACTGTCTGCTGATTCATAAGTCTGTTTTGTTGTCGTGTTACTTTGCCAATACTATACTTTTATCACTATATCTTTGTAGTATATAACCCTAAGTCCGAGATTGTGATGCTTCCTGCCTTGCCCTTATTGATCCACGTTGCTTTATTTTAGGTCTCTTCTAGCTCCATATGCATTTTTTTATTATTTTCTCTAATCCCACGAGGATTGCTATTGAAATTTCAATTCAAATCGCATTAAATCTGAATAAAATTTTTGTAAGTGTGGTCATTTTGATTATATTCATTTGGCCTTCAAAGAGCAGAGAATATCTTTCCATTTTTTGACACCCTCTTTGATCTCCTTTTTAGAGTACTGTAGATTTCACTGTAGAGGGCTTTCACTTGCTTGGCTAGGTTAATTCATAAGCATTTCATTTGTTTTGATGTTATTCTGAAAGCTATTTTTTCTCTAATCTCTCTCAGTGAGTTTACTATTGATATACAGGAACGCTATTGAGTTTTCAGTGTTTGCTTTGTATCTGCTATGATACTTCATTTAGTTCTCAAGACTAGGAATATTTTTGTGGACTTTGGGGGTCTTTTACATAGAAGAGCATTTCATCTATAAATATTTAACTTCTTCCTTTCCTACCCATATCCTTTTTCTTTCTTTCCCTTGACTGGTGGGTCTGGCTAATGCTTTGAGAACTATGTTGAACCAGAGTGGTGATAGTAGATATCCTTGTGTGGTTCCTCATTTTGGAGGAAAAGCTCTTGGCTTCTCTCCATGTAATATGTTGACCATTGGCTTGTCATAGATGGCTTTTATCAGATTGAGATAAAGACAGTTAATACAGTGGATCCTTGACAAACTCAATTCATTTGTGAGGGCTGGTTACTCAAGTTGGTCAACTGAAGTTTCAGGCCACTCTACACAGCCTTCAACATCTCTCTCCTGTACACAGGCAAATTTCAGTGTCCTTAGAGAGACAGTGACCTAGGATTTCGCATTTAACCCCACTCAGGGAAGGATGGTGTAAGGTTCCTTCCAGAACTCTTAAGGGTTAAATGTGTATCTAAGACCATCTGGAAGACAATCAGCCAGCATTCAGGTAGTAACTCAAGACTTTGGTTATAGGTTAAAACTAAAAATTTGGTCATAACCCAAGTTATTCATATGTCATTACTCAAGAGTCCACTGTACCCATTTTCTTCAGGTTTTTTTAAATCATGAATGGATGTTGGATTCTGTTCAATGCTTTTGCTATGTTTATTGAAATGATCAAGTGATTTTTTTCCTTGCTTCTATTTATGTGGTGTATTACATTTACTGACTTCCATATGTTGAACCATTCCCACATCCCTGGAATAACTCCTACTTGACTGTGGAGTATGATCTTTTTGATGACTCACTTCATCCTCTTTGCCAGTATCTTAATGTGGGTTTTTGTGTCTATGGTCATTAAGGAGATTGACTTGTTGTTTTCTCTTTTGGGTGAGTCCTTTTCTGGTTTAGAATCAGGATAATGCTTGGTTCCAGGAAGGATGTTAGAAGTACTGCTTTCTTTTAATTTCATTCAAGAGCTCGTGAAGTATTGTCATTAGATCATCCCAGTTATTCTTCTAGAACTCATCAGTTAATCTGTCATGACCTGGACTTTTCTTAGGTAGCAGGATTTTTAAAAATGATTATCATTACTTCTTCAATTTCAGTGACTGACTGATATTCAGTTATTCAGGATTTATACATCTTCTTGTTTCAGCTTAGGTAGTTCATATGTACCTAGAAATTGTATCCATTGGTTTTGAATTTTCCACTTTATTAGAATACAGGTTCTGAGGTGATCTGGATTTCAGCAGAATCTGTTGTGCTTTTGCCTGTTTCATTTCTAACTGCATGGATTTGGGTTTTCTCTTTTCTTATGTTGGTAAGACTGGCTAAATGTTTGTCTATTTTGTTTTTTTCCTTCAAAGAACAAACTCTTCAACTCATGGAATCTCTGTGCTGTTCTCTTGTTGCTTTGAGTAGTTGGTCTTTGACAGCATCGATATCTTCTAGTAGAGAAATTCTGATCTCATATTGGTTGGTTCTGTTGCCTGTATTTTCAATATAATTTTTAATTTCATGGATTTATGACGGAAACTGTTTCATGGACTTACTCTGTTAAGCTGGTCATTCATGTTTTATATTGTTTTGTTTAGTTCAGCTATCTTTTTATTAGTGTTTTTTGAAAATCCTAGGATCATTTTGATTATTAATTTCAGTAGCTGTTTAGTTGTATCTTTTGGGATCCCACTGAGTACCACTTTGATAGATTTTCTGAGCTCCTGTTATCCTTTTGAGTAATTTGGTTGTGTGTGGCTTCTGTTATTCCCTTCTTTAATGGCCCCCTGGATTGGCTTTTGGGGAATTGGGAGTTTGGGAAGGCATTTGTCGCTTTGTCTTCTCCTGGTCGTATTGTCCTTTGTTTGGTTTGTTTTGTGCTGAGTTTTGTGGCTGCTTATAGTGTAAAATGTTGTCGCTAGTATAGAGATCTCTTTAGGTAGCCATCCACAGTGATGCACTTTGGGTGCAGCTAACTGTAGTATTTTGCCTCAGCCCAAGATTCAACCACCTTGGTTAATTTGGGAGAGGAGAATGCAGAGTAACTGGCCTAGCCCTGAGTTCTCTTGGAAATAAAGTACTCTGCTGGTTGAAGATGTTTAAAAAGATAAAGGCACTCATCACGGTGCTATGCCTTTTTCCTTGCTTTCTGAAAATAACTATTAACAAATGTACCTTCATTCTGTAATACAGTTTCCCAATGAATTGGCAAAATAATCCCAGATGAATGCCACACAACCAGGTCATCAGGATCCTTTCTTCACACTCCTGCTTTACTTATCATGTGTCCCCTCCCTTCTCTCATGCCTCCCCTAGAGTTCTTTGTACTTCCATTGAAGAGCAGTTTACCCATTTCTTTGGCTATATGCTTTCAACTCCTGAAGAAATAAATACTCTTTAATTCTTAAATCCCAACTAACATGTAGCCATAGAAAATAAAACTGGGGACAAAGCTGGGAGAGTCAGAATTCCATGCCACAGAAGAGGGAGTTGTTAAGTAACCAGTGCGAATGCACAGGTTTTCCTACCTAAGAACGTGTCTTTCATGGCTACTAGGCTTTCCCTTCTGGCCTAAAAGGTCGTAGATCCAAGGGGAGAGAAACGTATGCACCTAGAGATATGGCAGTGATTTCCCTGAACCAGAAGGTAAGACTCCTCCCATTACTTTGGGCTTCGCTTAAGCAGTCAAAGAGAGCTACTGAACTGTCAGAGGTTAAAATGGGGAGGCTGCAACACAGCGGCGACAAGGAAGAATATGTCTGCAGTACAAGGTCCCTTGAGAGCACCTGCTATGTTCTGCCCTTAAAGTGAATGGAAAACTACAACCCAAGTCAAGCAGGTCTGCTAGAGGCCCAGAAATCTCAGGAGTGCAGATTTGTGTCACCCTATTAGGCAGAAAAATGATGACAAGTTGAGGTATGTGTTAAAGGAAAGTGGAATATGGAATGGGGAAAAGAAATTATTCATAAATAATAGCATGTCAGCTGTAGAAATGGAGACTGCGATTTAATGAATAGTTCTTCCTCATTTCATCATAAAGAGATCTGGCTACAAAATATTGGTTTTCTTCTCTCTTATTTAACATAAAGCATATTAGTACTAGGTAATTTTATAGCATGTATTTATGTTGAAAGGAATCAAACAAAATAATGACTATCACTCAAATACCCCGAATCCTTTTCCAGGGAAGAGATTAATGTATTCTTGGATATATGCGAGATAGGTGTCGAATATGACTCCGTTACTGTCTCTCTTTGGAGAGTAAGTATGATTTAAGGAGAAGTGTGCAGGGCCATGTTGACACTGAGGGACTGGGGTGCCTGGTTTTATGCATCAGTGTGGCTAGACTGTGGTATCCCATTAATCAGCCATATATTATTCTAGATCTTGCAATGAATTTTTTTCATATGTGATTTGCATCTACAGTCAGTTGGTTTTAATATAGGGAGGTGTCCTTGGTAA